ACGCACGCACGTGTACGTGCACGCACGCAAGCACGTGTACGTGCACACGCACGCACGCACGCACACACGCACGTGTACGCGCACACGCGAAGACTGGAGCACTGACACAGATGCATGCGTATGTGTACTGTACGGTCGAAATACGAAATATTTTGTCACAAATAACCTGATCCGGAAAAATTCGTGGCAACGTTCGCGCAAGCGCAGACTCTAAATACGAACTGGCTTATTGGTTCAATAATAATTAGCAAAACAATATTGGGCCAATATCACCAGGACAGTATTGGACCAATATAGGCAGCTACTAGTCCAATATCAGCCCAATATTGACAAAACAATGTTGGGCCAATATCACCAGGCCGATATTGGACCAATATAGGCAAGCCAATATAAGCAAGCCAACATAGGTCCAATATGAACAACTTAGTGGCAACCAATATCGGTATAAGCTAGCATAGGCGGGTCCATGATTTGTCCATGATAGACATTCTCATACCAGTTTCTGAGCACTTTAGCAGACATTTGACATCGTTACATTTACAACAGGGTATACTTTTTAGTGCAGTATAATGGGACAGGGTGTATTTTATGGTGCAAAGCGGTTTGCGACAGGGTCAGGTTTTCAAGGTCACCGAGGCACCCCTACCCAGTTCCGAGACGAGTGTCCCCCCCCCCCGGGTACGGGTCGCTGGTCCTACGGGTCGTTGGTCCTACGGTGCACGCAAGCACACACAGGAACACAGGCAGGCACGATTTTTCAATAATTTTTTTTCTTCTAATTTTCAATTTTCAAATTTTCAAATTTTTAAATTTTCAAATTTTTAAATTCTCTAATTTTCACATTTTCAATTTTAATAACATTGTATAAGGTTTGTTAACCGACATGTAACGTTACTATCAACGTTTAGTGAACGTTAATAAACCGATCTTGGCAAACGTTTTTCAATATCTTAAACCTTACTAGCGGGATACCTGGCGTTGCCTGGGGAAATCAGTGGCGTTACTCAGCTGGTTGAAAGGAAAATATCCAAAAAATCTAACTATCTATCTATCCATGCATCCATCCATGCATCCATTCATCCATCCCATTCCATGCCATCCAATTCCATCCCATCCCATCGCACCGCATCCCACCCTTGACATGCCATGCTATGCCATGCCAGCTGTAGGAGTCCCGGTGTAGGAGACGGATGTTGTAGTGATTACACCACTGCGCCGTTAAGCTTATACCACCAGGGGTTGTCTATATTCAGGCCGGTACAGGAGATAATTTGCATATTTTGTCACGTGGTTTGTGTTAACCAATCAGAAGTAATCGCGTATTCTGTAAGCTGTAAGATGTAAGCTGGCGGAGAAGGAGGGGACGAAGGGAGAAGGTGGTGAGGAGGGGGAGAAGCTTGGTGGAGAAGGAGGGCGAAAGCTGGTGGGAAGAAGGAAGGGAGAAGGCGGGAGAAGGGAGCTTGGTGGTAGGAGGAGGAGGAGAAGGGAAAGGCGATAAGGAGGGGAGAAGGGAGCTGGTGAGCGAGGAGGAGAGAAGCTGGTGGAGAAGAGAGGAGAGAGAGAGAGGTAGTGGATAAAGGAGGAAGGGAGAAGCTGGTGGAGAAGGACGAGGGAGGAAGCTGGTGGAGGGCAGGAAGCGGGAGAAGGAGAGGGAGAAGGGAGGCTGTGGAGAGGAGGGGGAGCAGAGGAGAAGCTGGTCGTGAGAAGAAGGCAGCGGGAGATAGCTGGTCGAAATTCACTCCTTCTCCACCAGCTTCTCCTCCTTCTACACCAGCTTCTCCTTCCTCTCCCTCCTCCTCCACCAGCTCTCTTCTCACCCTCCTTCTCCCCCTTCCTCGCTTCTCNGTTTTGTTAGACAAAATTGAGCCCTGTCCTGCATGGCGCCCCGTAACTATGTTACGTAACAACGATCCGTTACGATCCGGGTAGGACCAGCGACCCGTAGGACCAACGACCCGTAAGACCAACGACCCGTAGGATCAACGACCCGTAGGACCAGTACCCCAAGCAACAGCACTAACTGTGCCAGCGGGAGTGATACAAGATATGTTGCCAACAACACAACAGGCAGCATCGCCGAGAGAGATATAGCGGCAGCAGCGAGAACTGTAGAAGCAACAGCAGCGTCATTAGAAACAGCAGCAGCAGGAAAAGCAACAGCCGTAGCATTGGCAGCAACTACAGAAGAAATAAGAGGACAGCAACTGCGATTAACATCACATGTAATGGCTCAGCCACTGTCACAGTCAGCACAAGCAACCCCGGCAGAGGCAGAGGCAGAGACAGAGCCAGAGGCAGAGGGAAAGGCAGAGGCAGGGGCAGAAGTAGGGGCAGAGGCAGACGCAGGGGTAGAGGTGGAGGCAAAGGCGGACACAGAGGCAAAGGCGAAGGCGAAGGCGGAGGTGGAGGCAAAGGAGAAAGCGAAGGCAGAGCCGGAGGCAGAGGTGGAGGCAGAGACAAAGGCAAAGGCGGAGGTGGAGGCAGAGACAAAGGCAAAGGCGGAGGTGGAGGCAGAGACAAAGACAAAGGCGGAGGCGGAGGCAAAAGCGAAGGCAAAGCCGAAGGCAGAGGCGGAGGCGGAGGCGGAGGTGGAAGCGGAGGCGGAGGCAAAGGCGAAGGCGAAGGCGGAGGCGGAGGCGGAGGCGGAGGCAAAGGCGAAGGCGAAGGCGAAGGCTGAGGCAAAGGCTGAGGCGAAGGCGAAGGCGAAGGCGGAGGCGGAGGCGAAGGCAGAGGCAAAGGCAAAGGCAAAGGCGGAGGCGAAGGCGGAGGCAAAGGCGAAGGTGAAGGCGGAGGCAGAGGTGAAGGCAAAGGCGAAGGCAAATGCGAAGGTGAAGGCGGAGGCGGAGGCGAAAGAGAAGGGGAAGGCGAAGGTGGGAACTATAGAAGCAACAGCAGCGTCATTAAAAACAGCAGCAGCAGGAAAAGCAACAACCGTTGCAATAGCAGCGACCTCCGTAAAGAAAGCATTTGCAGCAACTACAGAATTAATAAGAGGACAGCAACTGCGATTAACATCACATGTAATGGCTCAGCCACTGTCACAGTCAGCACAAGCAAACCCGGCAGAGACAGAGGCGAAGGCGGAGGCAAAGCCGAAGGCAAAGGCGAAGGTGAAGGCGAAGGCGAAGGCGAAGCCGAAGGCGGAGGCAGAGGCAGAGGTGGAGGCGAAGGCGAAGGCAAAGGCGGAGCCGGAGGTGGAGGCGGAGGTGAAGGCGGAGCCAGAGGTGGAGGCGGAGGTAAAGCCAAAGGCGAAGGCAAAGCCGAAGGCGAAGGCGAAGGCGAAGCCGAAGGCGAAGGCAGAGGAAAGGCGAAGGCGAAGGCGAAGGCGAAGGCGAAGGCGGAGGCGGAGGCAAAGGCGGAAGTGGAGGCGGAGGCAAAGGTGAAGGCGGAGGCAAAGGTGAAGGCGGAGGCAAAGGCGGAGGCGGAGGCAAAGCCGAAGGCGGAGGTGGAGGCGGAGGCAAAGGCGGAGGCGGAGGCAAAGCCAAAGGCAGAGGCGAAGGCGAAGGTGAAGGCAAAGGCGAAGGCGAAGCCGAAGGTAAAAGCAGAGGCAGAGGCGGAGGCGAAGGTGAAGGCGAAAGCGAAGGCGAAGCCGAAGGCGGAGGCAGAGGCAGAGGTGGAGGCGAAGGCGAAGGCAAAGGCGGAGCCGGAGGCAAAGCCGAAGGCGAAGGCAAAGCCGAAGGCGAAGGCAGAGGTTGAGGTTGAGGCTAAGGCGAAGGCGGAGCCAGAGGTGGAGGTGGAGGTGAAGCCAAAGGCGAAGGCGAAGGCGAAGGCAGAGGTTGAGGTTGAGGCGAAGGCGAAGGCGGAGCCAGAGGTGGAGGCGGAGGTAAAGCCAAAGGCGAAGGCGAAGCCGAAGGCGAAGGCGAAGGCGAAGGCAGAGGCGAAGCTGAAGGTGAAGGCAGAGGTGGATGCGGAGGTAAAGCCAAAGGCGAAGGCGAAGCCGAAGGCAAAGGCAGAGGTTGAGGTGGAGGCGAAGGCAAAGGCGGAGCCAGAGGTGGAGGCGGAGGTAAAGCCAAAAGCGAAGGCGAAGCCGAAGGCGAAGGCAGAGGTGGATGCGGAGGTGAAGCCAAAGGCGAAGCTGAAGGCGAAGCTGAAGGCGAAGCTAAAGGCGAAGCTGAAGGCGAAGCTGAAGGCGAAGGCAAAGGCGAAGCTGAAGGCGAAAGCAGAGGCGGAGCTGAAGGCGGAGCCAGAGGTGGAGGCGGAGGTAAAGCCAAAGGCGAAGGCGATGCCGAAGGCGATGCCGAAGGCGAAGGCGAAGGCAAAGGCAAAGGCGAAGGCAGAGGCGAAGCTGAAGGCGAAGGCAGAGGTGGATGCGAGGGTGAAGCCAAAGGCGAAGGCGAAGCCGAAGGCGAAGCCAAAGGCAAAGGCAGAGGTTGAGGTGGAGGCAAAGGGGAAGGCAAAGGCGGAGCCAGAGGCGGAGGCAGAGGTGAAGCCAAAGGCAAAGCCGAAGCTGAAGGCGAAGGCAGAGGAAGAGGCAGAGGCAGAGGAAGAGGAAGAGGAAGAGGAAGAGGAAGAGGAAGAGGAAGAGGAAGAGGAAGAGGAAGAGGAAGAGGAAGAGGAAGAAGAAGGCGGAGCCAGAGGTGGAGGCGGAGGTAAAGCCAAAGGCGAAGGCAAAGCCGAAGGCGAAGGCGAAGGCGAAGCCGAAGGCGAAGGCAGAGGTTGAGGTTGAGGCGAAGGCGAAGGCGGAGCCAGAGGTGGAGGCGGAGGTAAAGCCAAAGGCGAAGGCGAAGGCAAAGGCAAAGGCGAAGCTGAAGGCGAAGGCAGAGGTGGATGCGGAGGTGAAGCCAAAGGCGAATCTGAAGGCGAAGCTGAAGGCGAAGCTGAAGGCGAAGCTGAAGGCGAAGGCAAAGGCGAAGCTGAAGGCGAAGGCAGAGGCGTGGCTGAAGGCGGAGCCAGAGGTGGAGGCGGAGGTAAAGCCAAAGGCGAAGGCGATGCCGAAAGCGAAGGCAAAGGCGAAGGCAAAGGCGAAGCTGAAGGCGAAGGCAGAGGTGGATGCGAGGGTGAAGCCAAAGGCGAAGGCGAAGCCGAAGGCGAAGCCAAAGACAAAGGCAGAGGTTGAGGTGGAGGCAAAGGCGAAGGCAAAGGCGGAGCCAGAGGCGGAGGCGGAGGTGAAGGCAAAGGCAAAGGCGAAGCTGAAGGCGAAGGCAGAGGTGGAGGCGGAGGCAGAGGCGGAGGCGGAGGTTAAGCCAAAGGCGGAGGCAGAGGCAGAGGAGGAGAAAGAGGAAGAGAAAGAGGAAGAGGCAGAGGAAGAGGCAGAGGCAGAGGAAGAGAAAGAGGAAGAAGAAGAGGAAGAGGAAGAGAAAGAGGAAGAGGCAGAGGAAGAGGCAGAGGCAGAGGAAGAGAAAGAGGAAGAGGAAGAGGCAGAGGCAGAGGCAGAGG